AAAGTGTATTATCCCCACTCTCCTTTTTTTTTTTTTTTTTTTTTTTTTTTTTTTTTTTTACAATAATGAATCCAGATCTATAACATTGCCCAGCAAAGAGTTTCTTTACATTTTCGCCCAAGCATTTACAGTCATCATGTTTCCAAACAGCTCCAACTCCCTCAGTTTCACTTCCATAAACTTCCAGTTGAGTGCAAGATCGCAAGGGACAGAGCAGTCTCCTGCAGCTCTCCATCTACTAGCTTGGAGAAGGGAGGAAGGAGTAGTAGGGGAGAGGCTTGCCTTTCTGTGCCTGTGTGTTTGTGTAAACTAGCACACACAAGGATGGCTCCATATAGCCTTGCATGATCTGTGCTTGAATAGCTTCAAAGGGGTCTAACAGAACCTGTCATGTCTTATATAGGGGGTTTATCAGCCCCCTTGTGATAATCATGACATTAAAGGAGAACTATGAGGTGAGTGATTTCCACTCATTCTCATAGTTCGAGTCGACGTGTGACAAAGAAGATGTCACAGGTTTGCTCTATTGATCGGGAAGTGAGCAGAAGCATGCAGCCGATCCGCTCACTTCCCGATCTTCTCCCTGCAGAGAGCCGTTACTATAAGTCACCTCTCCTTGCTGGGATTCCCCCCTCTCCGATCCTCCAGCGCTGAGTGGAGGAACGAACCGGGGAGGGGGTGGGAACAGCTGGCTCTGCCTCTAGATGGGCAGAGCCCGCTGCCACTCACACAGCTGGGTGGATCCAGACAGTATTGTCGGGATCTGTCCCGGCTGCGGCGCTCTCCGTATATTGCTAGCAATATATACTGAGCTTTGGGTCACGGGAGGAGGCTAGTATATGTCCTCCCATGACCCTTAAGAGAACTATGGGGAAAAACACTTACCCCAGACTTCTGTTTTAAGTAAAAGAAAAAAAAAAGTTTAAAGAAATGTGATAAAGTGTAATTAAAATTAAATGTAAAAAGCTCAGACATTTTTATTAAAGCCCCTTCCCCCGCGTAAAACACATACTGCAATGCGATTGGCCGCACGGGAACGCAAGGCACATCAATGCCTGCGGTCCGGTCAGAAAAAATAGTACTTGCAGCATTTTGTTCGGACCGGACTGCAGGCATTGATGTGCCTTGTGCGACCAATCGCATTGCGGCCGGAGTGCGCGGCTACGGTGCCATTCACTTCAATGGACCGATACGCCCCCTCCCGCCCCACAACACACTGAGCCGGCTACAATTCGGTCCAGTGCGTTCCGGCCACAATCGGCCCGGAACACACTGAGGATGGTGCGAACGAGGCCTTAAAGGCAGTTTAAAGTGTGTCTCCTGGACTATTTTGGGTATTGTACGTTTTCACTGTTTTACTGCCAGGTGCAATTTTTTTTTTTGTATCTATTTACTCGATGCAACCTTAACTGTTATACATTACCCCAAAAAAATGGGTAGTACAATGTTTGTTTCTGTGCACGAAAATAATTTTAATGCATTTTTCACTCAAAATATGGGTGTGATATACAAAAAATTGCACCTGACACCATTTTTTATTCTACGGGGTTTCTGCATTCATAAAATATATAGCGGGAGTTGATCAATACTGGAGCAGTTGCCCTTAGTAACCAATCAGCTTTTCTCCAATTTGTTCAGTTAAGCTATGAAAATGAAAGAGAGAAGCTGATTGGTTGCCGTGCACAGCTGCTCCAGATTTTGTCTCCTCCAGTTTTGATAAATTCCCTCTATAATGTTTTTGGGGGTTTTGAGTCGTTTTCAGGCCTTTAAACGTACATTTTTTTTTGCATGTGTACAAAGAAAATTGAAAGGGATTAAAGTCGCTTTACCTGTCGTCATTTTCTTTCTATATTTGTTTACTGCAGGATGAAGTTCTATGCCATTTCTGGTGGCGATATCTTCAGAAGACTCGCCAAGCCTACTGCAACAAAGCTGCCATAAAGGACAAGAAGTCACAATTGGTGAGTAGAAAGCTGAGCATGAACTTTATAGACATACAGAGGGCAATTTATCAAAACTGGAGCAGCTGTGCATGGCAACCAATCGGCTTCTCTCTTTCATCTTCAAATCTCAACTGAACAAACTGAAGAGAGAAACTGATTGGTTGTCATGGGCAACTGCTCCGGATTTTGTCTGCTCCAGTTTTGATAACTTCCCCCCAGCATATATAATTTATCGTTGAGGTGTCTGAATGTAGTATTAACCCCTTCGTGACGAGACGTACACTGTACGTCCCGTCACGAAGTGCCTATATGACTGGCCACGTACACCGTACGTGACGAGTTATATCAGGCTTTGTAATGCCGGTAACCGCTGATTCTCAGCAGTTAACAGTCATTAATGAATGTCTCAGTATTGAGGCATTCATTAATGAAATAGTTAAGCTTTTGTAAAAGCTTTTTTCTTTCACTAATGAAAGAATGAAGCCGTTACATGCAAATACGGGACCGCTAAATAGCGATCCCGTATTTGACAGCTGAAAATAGCAGAGAGGTAGTGGAGTGAGTCGCATCTCTGCTATTCATTTTGACCGCTCGATAGCCGATGTTTATGATGCATTGTATTCTTTGGTGAAAATGTATCAGACTTTTGATCGTCTGGGCCGATCAAAGACCTTTTAGTGAGATCTGAATCTGACATGCTGTCAGGATCAGTCTCTAAGGTTATTAGCTGTTCCGTGCAAGGGTTAATATTTACAGATCCTGGAGTTCTTCTATGATGACATTATGGAAGGATGAATATATAATATTACATTGTAATATTATAGCAGCAGCAGTGGAATGTCGGGAGTGACTAGGGAGTCAGCGGGAATCTTAACCTCTTTCCTAGATCATTGCCCTTAGAAACAGCGAAGCGGTGGACTGTTCTTTACCCACTGCCATTTACTAGCACTGCTGCAGAATAGCCCTTGGGTGGCCGGTGCACTTGTTAATCACTGCACCGGCCACTGACGCATCGCTGGCACAGTGTACAGAGCCAATCTCAGTAGCATGCAATTGATACATTGCATCTAGTGTTCAGTGTACAGAGACTCGGTAGCATGCAATTGCTGTTATAATCAATCACAGCGTTCACATACTACTGGTAATTCCTCCCCTTCATCCTGCAATGAGGGAAGGTGAGGAAATGGCAGTAATCCAGGAATGAGAAATTAATGAATGAATGATCTGTTCATTTTTACTAACTGTGGGAGCGTTTTGTTAACCCCTTCATACCTCTCCTGCTACTCGTGTAGCTCCAGCCTGCCTCTGATTGAGACCTGTGTTGATTTGAGCAGCTCTCATTCTTCTACATACCTCTCGTGGTTGCCTCTCAGCATCCATGCAGTTTTCTTTGTCATCTGTTATGTTTTGCCTGCACACACTATCTTTTAACATCCCCACTCTTTATGTTTTATGGCAGAGCTCTCAGAGTAGCAAAGCATCGTCTGACCTGGATAGCGGGCCTGACATTTTCAGTAGTGCCTTTTCTACTGATACTGATGAAAACTTGCATAGTATTGGCCTTAGCCTCCCATCTTCAGGATGCAACACGTCAGCATCGGGTATGTTTTATTTTGTATAACTCCATGACATGACTACGTTATGATTTTTTTTGTTAAATTAATTTAGTCTGTGGTCCCCCATTGTCATGGCTTCAGTGGGGACTGCTAAGAGTCACAGTCTCTAGCTAGAGGAGTATCTAGCCCAATTTAAAGCCCAAAAACCTCTCTAAAGTAAAGCAATTGATCCCATGCCACTAAAACTAACCACGTAGAATTAACACATAGACATGGAATCAAATTGTACTATGTTCCATTCACATACAGAAAATCAGCTTCCTGGCATTATTATACCCCACAATATGTTTCTCTAGTTGCTTAGCAACCCAAACTATAAAGAAATGGGCATGTAAAGATAGCATGGATTATCAATGGATTTGTCTGCTCTTGAACTGCATAAAAGTTTCAGAACTTTATTAATGCGCAAATCAAGAAGAGCCTTACGGAGCTTCATATCTCACCGCAAGCCTTATGAACAGGGCCTGTCTGATTTAACACAGTCTAACTGCATTCTTTTATAATGTGTAATGACTAGGGATGCACCCATACCGATACTAGTATCGGTGCCGATGCCGAGTATTTGGATGAGTACTCGTACTCGCCCAAATGCTCCGATGCCTAGCCCGATACTTCCTGTACCAGGAAGCCGGGCAGCACGTCATTACACTTGTGATGAGGGAGCATGGAACCGGCTTCCCGGCCAATCAGGAAGCTGGGCAGCGTGTAATGATTCGCTGCCCGGCTTCCTGATTGATCAGGAAGCCGGGCGCGGTGTCACCTCATGGCGAGTGAGCATAAAGCCAGCTTCCCGGGCCAATCAGGAAGCCGGGTGCCGCGTCATTACACCGAGCCCGGCTTCCTGATTGGCCAGAAAGCAGGCTCCATGCTTTCTCGTCACATAGTGACGAGAAGCATGGCGGCAGCTTCCCTGGTATTTCGGAAGCCGGATGATGAGTCTTTACACGCCGCCCGGCTAATCAGGAAGCCAGGTGGTGAGTCATTACGCGCCGCCTGGCTTCCTTTTAATGAGACTTCCGGTATCATTATTTGGTATCGGCGAGTACTGAAATTAAAAATGTTGGTACTCTATACCGAAATACCTGTATGTGTGCATCCCTAGTAATAACCACAATGCTCCCAGGAGCCAGAGATTATGTGATAAATGTGATTTTATGAGGGAGCTCAGCAGCAGCATTTATTTATTTATGTATGACAAGCAAGTTTCACTTTTTTGTTAACATTTTAAAACGTATGATTTAATAATGCTGACATATGCTCTTAGTTCATTTGATGTGTACATTTTTATTATGAATCCACTTTAAAGTTATCGTTCATCTCAGAGTTTGTTGGTTGATAACACTGGTCTACACATTTTGGGAAATTATCGACCCCCTGAGATAAAATGTGTTAATTCTTACATATTTTGATGAGTTGAATTAGAAAACAGGTGATAAAGGTTCTGGTTGGTTGGCTAAAGTTTTCAAGATATTTCACAATAAAGATTTATGGACAGGCGAGTACATTTGCCTACAAGGGAGGGAGGTGTCTGATGATCATGATAACAAAGTACGGTAGAACAATGAAAATGGCACCACATGGGAAGTGTATATATTTATCCTCACTTTGAGGCTAAAGATTATTACCTAGCTGTCATTTATTGTTCTTTTATTGCAAGGTACATTTGTCTTGGTCAGATCTACGCATCATACAGTTAGATCTGGTGGCTTGTGAAAGTGTCATTGCCTTTCCAAGGAACAGTTGCGTGATATTTTCCCTCAGAAGCCAAAATGCTTCCAAACTGTGTAAACAACACACATAACTTCTGCTGCATTTGTGGCGAGGTTACATTTGCATCTCAAAAGTGCAGTATGAAGGCAGTGGTAAAAAAAAGGCATACCACCTATATTTTGGATGCAAAAAAGGGGATCAGGACCAGAGTTGGGCCCCTCATTATTGTTGCATTACATGTTTAGATACCAAATATAGCTGGAACCTTGTCTTTTAATCTGATGTTAGAGCTTGTCAGTTTTTCCATGCAAAAAGCATGAAAATGTTACATGAAAAACCAATAAATTAATGTAAAGTTATGTTATTGGTTCAGATGCCGATAATTGGCATTTTCAGAAGAACTACCGGGGTTGCAGCTGGGACCTGGCCCTGGCGCTCCACCACTGTCCTGAAATTAGTCTGTATTGTTTTAGAAAAACCGTTGCATGGCAATAAACAAAAATGTATCAGTACTCGTATCTGTGAGTACTTTCTCACCAGGGCTCTGAGGGGTCTCACCAGCCTGGTGAGACCCCTCAGAGCTCTGGTGAGACCCCACAGAGCCCTGGTTAAAGTAGGGGTCTCACCAGGGCTCTATGGGGTCCCACCATAGCTAGGTGCGATTTCACCAGCCTGGTGAGACCCCTCAGGGCCCTGGTGAAACGCCAAAGAGCCCTGAATAACCCAGGGCTCTGGGGGTCTCACCAGAGCTCTGTGGGGTCTCACTGCTTAAGTTGACCTCTACTTTGCAGCTATCCCATCAGCTTTTCCTGATTTTTGGAATGCCGTACCTGGACTGTTCTGGAGTGGATCTTGCAGCACCAGCCTGGAATGTGTTCAGCTTGTGGTGCTTTCTAGACATTGCATACTGGTAATCTTTAGTCATGGAGGGCCTTGCAGGACCAGAGCTGTTATATACAAAATCGTACATTAAAACAGAGATGTACAAATCCCAGGAGCTCCGTGTGCTCCTTACATATGACAGCTGCCTCCTAACTTTTGAGTTTTTCTCTAGTCTTGTAGCTGGAAAAGTATCTGTATTTGTACTTGTACCGAGTACGGTACTTGGTATCTGAACATCCCTAGTATCAATAAAAAGATACATTTTATAATGATTGGTGTTAGGGATGCTCCGATACCGTTTTTTCGGTACCAATATTTATTTTTCGGTACTCGTCGATAACGATACCGGAAGTCCTGTTAAGAAAGCCGGGCGGCATGTAAAGACTCTCCACCCGGTTTCACGATTAGCAGGTAAGCCGTCTCCATGCTCCCTCGTCACCAGAGCATGAAGCCTTTTTTCTGGCCAATCAGGGAGCCGTGTAATGACACGCTGCCCGGCTTCCTGATTGGCCAGGAAACAGGACAGCGTGTAATGACTCGCTGCCCAGCTTCCTGATACCGGAAGTATCTGGCTAGGCAGCGGAGCATTTACTGTACCAAATACTCGGCATCGCTACTGATACTAGTATCGGTGCATCCCTAATTGGTGTGGCAACCTTCTGATTGCTATATCACATTTTGCAGAAAAGTTATGGAGCATAATCGCACATCCCACTTGTAATTTTGAAGTATTTTGATGCAATTTTGACCGGAAACTGGAGCCAATTAATACTCAGGACTTCATTTTCCCTTTATTAGCCAATTCTGGTAACATTTAGCTACTTTCATTTCCGAGGCTTTCTCCTTGTAGACCAGTGTTAGTTAAATACTTTTATATTTTATTAGGATTTATGAAATTTGTATTTATTTTGTGGTTTTAATTCCGCACTCATTGTTCATTTGTTTTCAGTATGCCCGCTATAAATATATATTTCATGTTCTTTAGATTCACAGTCAGACCACCCAGGAAGGGCATCTTCTGGAAGTGCCTCAAACGTCTGCTCGGGGGCTGTGGATATATCAGTTTACAAGAATATAAAACGCAGTGAGAAGAAAATGACCATGCCAATAACGCTGGCCTTCTGCTACCTCTCATTGCTTTGGTTAAGAGAATCCATCACACTGTCTGATTTACTGAGGTAAGACACAAACCTGCATTTCTTGCGGAATCTAAAGTGTGTACCAGCATCACCATAGTTCTGGGTCTCCATATTATGATCCTATACATTTATTATTCTGGATTCTGTGACGATTCTGTGAGGATCCACATCTTTTAAATATAATGAAACAAGGAAATCTGTAAAGTATGGCTTTGTAAGGGAGCTGATGTATAAATGTATATGCTGGGTGAATGCCGCTCGCATGGCATTACTGCCATATAAATTTCCTATGCTCCATGGTGCAAACGGCATTCGCCTAGCTATAATCTGGGCATCAGCCCCAAGGCCTCCTTTATCATTGTGTCTGTGGGAACAACTTTCAGTTGAAACCATGTATATTTTTTTCTTCTTTACGACCCTGAGCGGAGTACATAATTGCTTGCTAGGAGGCAGTAAAAGCTGTCTGCTGCAATGTTTACTTCTGCCAGTAATAATTTGACAGCAGACGGTGAAATTGTGGTGTAAAGCAGGTAAATTGGCCTTTGCAACCACTTGCCAAAGATCTGGTATGAGTTTCGGAATGTAATAATTTATTATATGTAGAGATAATAATGGCACTCCTAATGTAGTACATTTTAACTGTCGTTTATTCATTCATTCAGTACAACAAAAATACATAGAAAACATAAGTAATGAGTAGAGAGGGGCAACATTATGTAATTCAGAGAATAACTGATCTCTCTTTGTAAAATGGTCAGTGAATAAAGAATGAACAAGCTGCGGCAGTGAACACTTTTTTGTAAAGACGCAACCAGGCTTTAAAGTGACATTAAATCTTAAAATTGCATTCAAGTACCTTAACTATTAACAAAAATGTATCTTATTTGTTTATCACTTGGCTGTAGATCCTCAAATCATCTCTGAATTGGTGCTGACACTGTCCTTCCTTCTGGAGGGGGGCTAATTTTGTTCCCCATGGTCCCTGTGTGTGTTGTAAAGTAGCCACCACTCCAAGCTTACTCCTGTGAAGGACTACAATCTCAATACAAATGAGTAAACTAAACGTGAGATTGTAGTCCATCACGGGAGTGAGCTTGGAGCGTTGACTACTTTACAACACACATAGGGACCATGGGGAACAAAAGTAGCCCCCCTCCAGAAGGAAGGACAGTGTTTTTAGTTTACCAAGACAAAGGCCATATTGTGCTGACACTGTATGCCACAGTTGTAGCTGGTGGAAGCACCATGTTCAAGGGATGTCGGGTTAATTTGGAGCGGAGAGAAGGATTTAAAATATCATTCCAGGATGCTTGTGAGAAATATGTAAGGCTGTACTTGGCCAATATAAACCAATCTGAATAAATTAAAATGTAGCCTGTAGGAAAAAACTTAGAGCCACCCACTGCTTCTTCCTCCACGTATAAAACGTTATTGTGCAAACAGAGAGAGACACTGTTAGAGGAAGTAGTGTCTTTCTGCCATTTGCACAGTTTTGTATGTGGAGGAAAAAGTGGTGTGTGCTACATTGTGTTTCTATTGCAATAGGGAGTTGAAGAAGCCTGAAGTTTTGCTGGAACCTACGGCTGGTGTGTTGCGCAGACCTCCAGAGCAGTGTTGAGGGATGTGTGATTTAAAGATGAAACCTGGGTGGGTTCTTGGGTGCTTTTTTGAAGGTTGTATTCAGGATTTAATTTGATATATTAAAGTGGTTGTGATGACTAAGCAACATATCTGTAAAAAAATAAGTCAAGGCAACTGGACTTGCTGTATTTTTCTTGAAGACGTTTCACTGGTCATCCAACCGGCTATCTCAATTCAGAATTGAGAAAGCTGGTTGGATGACAAGTGAAACATCAAGAAAAATACAGCAAGTCCAGTTGCCTTGACTTATTTTTTTACAGATATACCATGACCTGGATGAATGAGAACCTTCACAGACACTAAGCAACATTCACCTGTAGGGAGAGAAGACCCATAAATTTATATAACTTAATGCTTCATGTGAAATGCAAATCACACACATTATATTGAAGAGGATCAGCCCTTTAGTGGTACATCAAAGGCTCCGAGTGCTGAGTGTCATGAGCGCCCGAACTGTACAGGTTCCTACGCTTTTCTGCCTCATTAGCTCCACTCTGGTTGGAGTGTTGAGTTTGACTATTTGCTCTTTGATTGAAACATTGACTTTGGGTCTGTGCTCTTTGCTTGGAATGTTAGTCTTGCGGATCTGATTTTTGTCTGGAGGGTTGAGCTCATGATTCTGCTCTGTGGCTGGATATGTTGGTTGTATCCATATACCTTGCCACACTCCCTACCGGATATCCTAAATGTAATTGGTGCTCGTAATGACTACAGATGGCACCGCTCGCAGAACTCCAATACAGATGTCACCAGCACCAAGATTCCATGTTAGTGCAAACCCATTTTATTGATAGTTTTCATTCAAACGACAAGCACTTTTGGGGCCGTGCAGGGTCCCCTTCATCTGGCGCATTTCTGAGCCTAATGAAGGTGACTCTATGCGTCCCCGAAAGTGCTTGTCGTTTGAATGACAACTATCAATAAAATGGATTTGGATTAACATGGAATCTTGGTGCTGGTGTGTTGGTGACATCTGTATTGGATATGTTGGTTGAGTCTGTAGCTCTTCAGGACAGAAAAAAAAGAACCAGGCTGTATGGCCATGTATACCCTGATTTATGCTATGTACCATTTTTCTTGTACCATCTGTGGTGGAAACTAAACATGATTTGAGGATGAGTTCAAATACTTTTTTGGTGATATTTTACAGGCTGGTCCTCAATGGTCATGTACCATACATCAACCCAGAACAGTATTTTCCTGAGGAGACTAAAATCTCTCTGCCAGATTCTCAAATCTTTCGAGTCCAGGTATGGATTACTCTTAATACTTCTTCAGTAGTGCTTTGTAAACCTGACTTTATGAGGTTGAGAAGCCATTGACAGTCCCCCACGTTATAGGGGAGTGACTGCAGCAGCTCAATATAAATAACATTATGGATGTTACATAGTTATTTAGGTTGGAAAAAAAGTGAAAGCAGAACTCAGAGGAAAATAAATGCTTAAATCTTGCAGTGGGGCTACAGGTTCTATACAGTGTATCAAATGTGAGGACACCGAGGGACATACAGCGTGGAAAATAATGATTTGATCCCCTACAGATTTTGTAAGTTTGCCCACTTACTAAGAGATAAAAGGTCTTTAATTTTTATCATATTTGTATTTTAAATGATAGAAACAGAATATCAACCAAAAATCCAGAAAAACACATGATACAAATGTTATAAATTGAGTTGCAGTTCAGTGAGTAAAATAAGTATTTGATCCCAAAGCAAAACATGACTTAGTACTTGGGGGAGAAACCCTTGTTGGCAAGCACAGAGGTAAGACGTTTCTTGTAGTTGGTTACCAAGTTTGCACACATCTCAGGAGGGATTTTGGTCCACTCTTCTTTACAGATCTTCTCTAAATCCTTAAAGTTTCTTGGCTGTCGCTTGGCAACTCGAAGTTTCAGCTCCCTCCATATATTTTCTATAGGATTAAGGTCTGGAGACTGGCTAGGCCACTCCATGACCTTAATGTGCTTCTTCTTGAGCCACTGCTTTGTTGCCTTGGCGGTATGTTTTGGGTTATTGTTATGCTGAAAGACCCATCCACGACCCATCTTCAGTGTTCTGGCTGAGGGAAGGAGGTTCTCATCCAGAATTTTACAATACATGGCCCCGTCCGTTGGCCCCTCAATGCGGCAAAGTTGGATTATACCTTTAGCAGAGAAACAGCCCCAAAGCATAATGTTTCCACCTCCGTGCTTGACTGTAGGGATGGTGTTCTTAGGGTCATAGTCAGCATTTTTCTTCCTCCAAACGTGGTGAGGCGAGTTAATGCCAAAGAGCTCAATTTTGGTCTCATCTGACCGCTGCACTTTCTCCCAATCCTTCTCTGAATCATTTAGACGGGCCTGTACACGTGCCTGTACACGTGCCTTCTTGAGGAGGGGGACCTTTTGGGCGCTGCAGGATCCCAATCCATGGTGGTGTATTGTGTACCAATGGGTTTGTTTGGTGAGTGTGGTCCCAACTGCCTAGAGATCATCCACCAGCTTCTCCCTGTAGTTCTAGGCTGATCCCTCACTTTTCTCATGATCATCCTTACCCCATGATGCAAAATCTTGTATGGAGCTCCAGACAGAGGGCGACTGATGATTATTTTGTATTCCTTTTGCGAATAATCGCTCCAACAGTTGTTTCCTTCTCACCAAGCTTCTTGCTGATAGTCTTGTAGCCCATTTCAGCCTTGTGCAGGTCTACAATCTTGTCCCTATCGTCTTTTGATAGCTCATTGGTCTTGCCCATGGTGGTGAGGTTTGAGAGGAAGAAGGAGATTCTGTGGACAGGTGTCTTTCATGTACATAACAAGTTGTCGTTAGGAGCACCTTCTTGGGCAGGACTAATCTGCGTACCACATAGCCAATCTGTGGGAGGAGCCAGAATTATTGTTGGTTGGTAGGGGATTAAATACTGATTTTACTTACTGAACTGCAACTCAATTTATAACATTTGTATCATGAGTTTTTTCTGGATTTTTGGTTTATATTCTGTCTCTATCATTTAAAATACACCTATGATAAAAATGATAGACCTTTCCTTTCTTTGTAAGTGGGCAAACCTACAAAATCTCCAAGGGATCAAATAATAGTTTTCCTCACTGTACCATCGCTGCAGCTTAGGAGGTGAGAGGCAGGAGTGAACACTCTGACAGCCGGACAGATCCAAGGTTCGGGCCAGTATAACTATTAACCAAGACACAAACGAGCACTTAACCCTTGCAGTTAAAAAAAATAAATAAATACAAATTCTTGATCCTTGCAGTGGGGCTACCACCATGGTAGCCCCACTGCAAGGATCGATCATTTTTTTTTTTTTCTCCCCAAGACATCTTCTTTAACAGTCAGCCAGATTCAACCTTTCTTCCTATTTCTTGTCATGTCTTAGGGACAGGAAGTGAAGTTTTGTAGTGGATTTTCTCCTTTCCCACTCTATGCATCCCATTAACATTAGTTTTGTTTTGGATAAATACAGTTTTCTGTGTATTATAGTAAATATTGAGAAAGTTCAGTATTTGTATAGCAAATTTAAGAGTTTGTCCTTCTCTTAAAAAAAAAAAAGTTTAGGGCTTAGACACATTTTCAAAAGCAGTCTTTGAGTTCCGGACAAGTGACTTTGCCAAGGTTGAAATGATGCCTTCAGTTTGCTGCAGACAGAAATTTTTCATTTCCTGAGTCTCCTTTTCACCAGTGATCAGACTGCAACATTGTAACTTTGTAGCAAATCTGAAGGTTCACAACGTGGCTGATATGTGTCAGACATTGTGAACAGAGGGAAATACTGCACAAGCACCAGGATGTCATCTCTGAGCCAGGATCAGGTGATGACACTGGATGATGCATGAGCAAAGAGGGTGCTGTCGTTCTGGAGAGAGGAAACAAAATAGATAAGGGCATTGACATCTTTGGTAAGGGGTTGTTCTCATCAGAGTGATTTTTGCTTTGTTCCTCTTTTTAAAGTAGTTTTAGAAATAATATTGCGTAATCTTTGTGTGGACTTGAGTTCTGAATTGCTATAAAGCGATGCACAGAGATGTAATGACAGTTCTATCACCTTAAGGATGCCTTGTATGATTATTGCTTTGCTACATACTGTAATATTGTAGGCGCAATAATGAAAATCACATTTGGCCAATAACAGTGTTTTATGTCAGTAATTCTGAGTGAACCACAAGCCTGATCATGTGAGAAGACTTCCACATCCTCGTATCTTCTGACATTATAAGGAGTTTCATCTTTCTTGGTATCATTTCTGTCCACGTCCTCAAATCTTTTTACATTGTCTTCCTGAAGCCCCTCAGATCTTCTGTACGGAGATTACTTTGCTTTATTTCAGGAAAACCCATTTCTTTCATCTCCGCCCTATATCCGGGGACCTGCCCTGTATCCGGGGACCTGCTCTGTATCTGGGGGCCTGCTCTGTATCCGGGGGCCTGCTCTGTATCCGGGGATCTGACTTACAGTATATCCAGAGACCTGCCTTCTACGGGGGGACCTGCCTGCTACCGGGGGACCTGCCTGATTATTTGGCTTTATTTTAGTAAAACCCATTTCTTTAATCTCTCCCTTATATCCAGGGATCTGCCTTGTATGTAGAGGGATCTGAATGCTCCATTTTTTTCACCTCACAGTACTGCAACACACCCCATTTTAGTATTGTGCATTGGCAGTGCAACGCATGCCCACCAGGAGGTGCATTGGGGTTCCGTTCAGAATGCCACTAGCACACCTAGCGAGCAGTGCATTGCAAAGTGTCAAACTTTGCAATGCAAGGGTTAATTCTTGAACATCCTGGAGTTCTGCTTTTAAAGGTTCAACATTTTTTTTTTTTTTTTTTTTTTTTTTAACACACAAAAAGTGAATAGAGCCTAAAATTGCTTTGAGTGGAATCTTTGGCTAGCACATTTGCAGTGATCTGTGTATTAGCAGTCCACCAATTGTTCTTGTTGTTGAACTTGCCATTTATAAAAACACATTCAAAGTGACATATAATCATGTGACCAGCCTACGTTGTGTTTGATTCTGCTCATTGTATTTGTCGTTTTAAAGAGGAACAAAAGGTCCACTTTAAGAATGTCCTCCCGCCTCCCTTCCCAAGAGTAGAAATCTTTCACAGCTTGTAAAGATCGAGCAGATTTGTATCCTTGTTAAATATTTACACGAGTATAAAGAGCGGAATACTTGAGAAAACATACCGGCCTGTCCGATGAAATGATATGGCTAGCAGCAAACAATCCAGGAGTATATTCCTGGCACTATCATTTGCTTAGTAACTACACCCCTGTGCTCTGTCCCAGCGGCAAGACACAGAGCGCCCACTGTGGACACAGCAGGTCACATGACCAGCATTTTTATTAGGGTTCATTCCTGAACAAAATGGACATTTTCAGGAGGCGTGTGCATATGAATATCAATTTCTGTTGTTTTATAAAGGTCAGAAGTTCACAGCAAGGAAATTTTCATTGGAAACTCATAAAAAGTGTTTGTGTTTTTTTTGCTTTTGTGTTCTTTTGTTTGTTTTGTCAGGTGTAACTGTGTGGAAATGTAGCTTGCAGTATTTATGCAGCAGAAGCAGACCTATGTGACCGGGTGTATTGATGGCAATGAGATATATTTGTACTGTATGTGTTAGAAAGAAACTATAGTGTAATACATGCATGTAAGAGATCAGCTGTGCATGGAAAGCTAAAACCTTTTTCTTTCTGGTCCATTGAGGGACACAGGACACCTTTGGGTTACATTGCTGCATAAAAACTGGCCAGGCCAGAATAACCCCTCCTACTACCAGCATGCTTCAGTTTTTTTTTTTGCTTGTGTCCTAGGAGGATGGATGCTTTCTGTTCAGCTGTACTGTGTGGAAGAATATCCTATTTTTACTGGAAGCTTTTTAACTTACTATTCCAAATTTTCATCTTCAGTTAAGACTCTTCTTGACATCGCTGCTGGAGCTGAACGATTCCATTGCTACTAATCGACACAGCTGTCATCAACCTGGCTTTTGGAGTGCTGCGTCTGGACTGCAATGGGAATAGCCGGGAGAGTACTGGGTTCCGCATAGAGCACTTTCCAGACTTCAATTTGGTAACAAGTTAGCCTGGCATTGCCTCAGAGCTTGCCCCGTCTCTGAAGACTCACTTCAGAATCGGTCGGGCCGAGCAATGAGAGCGTCCTCCGTTACATAGGTTGCTGGGCACATTAAAATTCCCCAATTCACACGGGTTATGCTGCAGAAGGGGTTAGTGCTCATGTCATCCCCACTGTGGATCCA